ACGACTACTAAGACTACTACTACTACTACGACGACGACGACGACGACTACTACTGCTACTGCAAGCCCTTACCCGGACCCTCGAACCTGAAGCCTCGAAGCCTCGAGACACAAACCTAAACCCTCCTTCGTAAACCCTGGAACCTTGCGAACCCTGATTATGGACACGGGGCCCCCAAGAACGATCCGGCAAACCCTGAACTCTCATGCCTGAAACTGTGAAAACCTAGTGTTCAGGGCTCCTGACTGTGACTTCCTTACTTATATGGGGGTTTCCGAAAATAGGAGGCCCTAATATAGTACCCTAAATAGTAGGACCCTTATTATAAGGACCCCAAGATAGGATACCCCTTATTTTCGGAAACTGCCATATGAGTCCTTGAAAAGGCGGGTCACTGCTCAGTCTGCTGTTGCTTCCTGTTTGCCGGGAAGTTTAGATGATAAAAGCAAGCTTTTTCGGAGATCAGCGGAGTATCTGTGCAAAGCACAAGGCTTTACGGTGCCCTGGCTACGCTAGCACAGGAACCTTGCATGATCATAGAATATCATAGAGGTCGTGACTATCGAAACAGCATATACGCCCTGGAAAAATTCCAGCATTTTGCTCCCTACATGCTACTGTACACTTTCAAGAAGGCGTGGCTGTTGATCGGGGACCCTAAACCCTAAACCCTAAACCCTGCATGGATAGGGGCCTCTTTAGCTTGCGCTGGGCCGTGGATTGCCGCACTGTCTGTGCCGCTTCGGAGTTCGAAGCGCTTGGGCCAGGGCTTGTCTGAGGGCTTGCGGTTTATTGCTGTAAAGGTTCAGGATTTGGGGGTTTAGGGTTTTAGGGTTTAGGGTTTGGGGTGTTAGGGTTTAGGGCTCTAGGGTTTTAGGGATTAGGGTTTAGGGTTTTAGGGTTTAGGGTTTTAGGGGATTTAGGGTTGCAGGGTTTAGAGGGATCTTTCTGGTCAAGAGGCTCGTGGATAAGGACATGTGTGACTTGTGCTTCGCCCTGCCCGCCAGACCCATGTCTCGGGTTAATTCTAAGCACGTGAGACAGGGACTTCCTTTCAGGAAACCCCCTAGTCTCCATTGTAGTTCCTTTTTTGGTTTACCCAGTTCAACTTATCATTTCGGATCCTACTTGGTACCCCCCAAAAAGGAACTACAATTGAGATTATAGGAACTACCTAGGACCCGATGAGATAATAGGTTACTAACCCTATATTATGTGACCCAATATTCAAGTAGCTGGAGCCCTAGGGAACGGCACTTGGAGAATTGCGGTTGCAATCAGGCTGAACAAGTCGACTGAGCTTTAAACTCTAATATAGTGGCCTTACGAATTAATTTGGACCGGGCTTTGGGGCCCAATATACTATACTGATAAGAAAAAGAACAATAACAATAATAAGGAATCCCGAGAATAGTATTGGTAATTATTCAGGCCCCTTATATTACTCACTAAGTCACCCCGAATCCTCCGAGCGCGTCTTCGCGATCCACGTGCGCGGCAGCCGGTTTAGCATCGCCAAGCCGTGGGGACGCGAGGCGCACATTTGCCAACGACTCGAAAGGCTGCCGAAGACTGATCCTAAACCCTAAGCCCTAAACCCTAAACCCCAAGCCCTAAACCCCAGGCCCTAAACCCCTGATCACTATGCACCCGAAGTACTCGCAAAGTGTCACCTTGCAAGCTGCAGCCCTCAAGAGTACATGCTGAAACCTCCGCACAATTCCTGCGCACGCATTCGAGTGTGACTGAAAGGTGGCGACAGCCAAACTGTTATGTTTTTAAACAGAATCGAAACTCTGTCTGCCATGTAAACGTGTCACAGGCTTCAACAAGCCCGCAGTGAACATTTCTTATGAAGCAAAGCGGCGCGACGAAACATTCCGCAAGGTTAAAACAAGTTCAATGCATCTAACTTTTTCCATGACGTTACGAAATTCTGAACTCGTTTCAAGTGCGACATGATACCACCGGACATATGTTTCGAGTTGACCGAAACTGTGCAATTTGTTGCTACGCCAGGGTCTGGCATGAAGAATCGACTTCCAAGGTTAGTCGCAATAGCCTGTGAGCCAGAGCAGGCACAACTGCCTCTTGATTAAGGAAATGTTGGATTGTGTTCAGGAATTTGGTTTCAGTTGCCATAATAGGGACCTATGGTAAATAATAGGGTTTGCTTATTATGGTGACATAAGTGACATAAGTCAAATTCCTTAACCAGAACCCAGAACCTGGTCCCGCGAAGCTGCAGCATTCCACTCGCACATTGCTGACAACGCAGCAAGAATGGACGATCGAGTCATAGCAGTACATAGTTCAAGCTGAAAACCGGAGTTGCACACGTTAATTCATTCAAGCATCCTGGAATCCTTTGACGAAGTTAAGAAGAGAAAGCCAAGCAGCAGGGTTGAACCTTGCAGGAAAACGGCATACTGCTGGTCGCTAAAAACACGCAACACTAAACCAAACCCCCCCAAAGCTCACCTCAAAGCTCAGAAACCCAAAGCCCCTATAACAGCCTGCAAAACCCTTCGAGGACTCTACAAGCCGTAAAGCCCCAGCGCTGCAGCTGTCCGGCTTCTTCATGCTTTCGGGCGCAGCAAACCGCTCACAGACGAACTGTCGGCGCCAAAGTCCTTATTTCCCCACGTCCAGATAGCACCTGGGCGGGCTTTTTGAGGCGACCCTTTTTATTGTGACAGGGGGGGCCTTAAGCCGAGGGCTTCGAGGGGCTTTAGGGTCTGGGGGATTAGGATTCGCGGTTAGGGTTTAGGATTTAGAGATCGAAGTTTCTCTAGGCCGCAGGCTCGAAACCAACAAATTCGGATCTCTGTGAAAACTCACGTTCTTATCCAGGGGTCATGGTTTGGCTTTAGGGCTTAATATAGGGGCCAAATAATCAGAATAGGGTTTTGGGACCATTATACTATAACTATGATAAGGAACACCCAAAATAGAACTGGTAATTATTTGGGCGCCTACATTATAGGGTTTGGTTTTGGGAACTGTGTTTGGAGTTTGGGCTTCGGATCATTTAAGATTAGGTTTGGGATCCTCAAACCCTGAAGCACTAAAGGCCTTAATCCCAAAACGTCCTAACAGAGGCCCTAATCCTAAAATCTTGATTCAAGCCCCCGAAGCTTTAAACCCTAGCCCGAACACCCTCCATTCGGGGCTGGTGCCTTCCGAGGTCACCGCCGCGAAAGCCAAGATTGAGCTGTAAAGCTCGCGCACCTGCACCCCCAATGTATGTATGTATGTATGTATGTATGTATGTATGTCTGTATGTCTGTATGTCTGTATGTATGTACGTATGCGTGTACACAAACACACGCGTACTTGCATGTTGGCTGGTGCACAAGCATTACGTCTCTTTTTGTACATATGTATGTGTATGTGTATATATATATATAGATATGTCTGTGTGTGTGCGCCTGTCTGTCCGTCCGTCCGTCGGTTCATCGGCCGTCGGTCCGTCTGTCCATCTGTCTGTCCGTCCGTCCGTTCGTTGGTCCGTCTGTCTGTCCGTTGGTCCGTCTGTCTGTCTGTCTCTCTGTCCGTCTATTTTTCCGTTCGTCTCTCTGCCTGTCCTATGTCTGTAGGTCTGTCTGGTCTTGGCTGTGTGTATGTATTTGTTGGCTTCCATGTCAAAATGTTTGGAACATAAGCGAATCCACAAATAAGTAAATCAATATATATATATATATATTTATTTATTTATTTATTTACATTTACATAAAACACAGTATCTGTAGATGTGTGTACCTGTCCAGAAAAATCGCTTTGAACAGCAGAACAATCAAAGTACTCATGATGGGCGACACCACCGACAATACAACGGATGACTGTTGCCCGCATGCCCAGCGTGACAAAGCTTCATGTCTGAAGACTATGTGTCAGAAGGGTACTAAGCCGAGAGGGTCCACATATACTACTAATATTACGGAATGTCACCAAAAATCCAGATACAACATGTCTTTTTCTCTTGGGACCTATTTCCATGATGGCAATATGTATGGACCCTCTGGCAAACATACAGAAGCTCCACACTCCGACGAAGACCTTGACCCTGCACAACCTGCCCGTTTTAAGTTCCTTACCGTGATTTCCTTATGCAAGACCTGCCCTTGTAAAGTTCATTATTATTATGTGTAAGGCCTTTAAGAGGTAGGTTTTGCAGGGTCCAGGAATTAAGTAAAACTTACCGGTTGCCGAACACTGGGAGCTCTCCCTCGCCGAGGAGGAATGGGCCCTAACCAGTGGTAGCTACGATTCAGTCTGAGACTATCGGGTTCAGGGTTTAGGGGTTTNNAGTTTAGGGTTTAGGGTCAGCACTCAGAGGAAGCAAGCGGTAATAGCACACATAATCTGAGCTCGCGTAGAGATGCCGCACATGCTTAGTCGAAACACAGGAACATGGACTACCAGCACGGAAGGTCGAAGAGCCTTTGATGCCGTCCACCATGGAATCATCTCCCTAAACCCTAAACCCTA